TATTTCTACTGGAATTAAGCAGTGTTCTGAAGTTTGCAAGTGATTTTGAATACATTTTACTATGAAATTGTGCAGTAGCTGGATATACCGAAAACTAGTGTTGCAGTGCTACTGTCATTAAGGGAAACGTAAGTGTTAACAATTAATTGTTAATCTTGGTTTTGTTTTCATTAAATTGGAAGTTTTTGAGTTTTTTCTTATCTTTGTGGTACCGATTTGATTTCTAATTCAAATTTAACGTTAATTCACAACTGTACAGAAAAAATAAGTAAGTAAAAATATATGCATTTGTAGATATTATTATGAATGTTTTATCGAATAGTAATGAATACTAGTCGCCTTATACAATAGATGGTTAACGCGTTAGCAAAATTAATGTATTTGCAGACATGCTTTTTATTTTGAGTTTAAGTATTATCCGATAAAAACATAAAGGTAATTTGCTATTGAACTTATGTTATTATTATTGATATTTTTCTTCATTATTGCTTCTTCTGACTATTTACTGATGTTTATTTATTTTAAAGCCAGTGCAAAAATGAAGGAGTGTTTTGTTTGTTTGTTAATAATTGACATGCTTATGCTTTTGGCAAGAAATCTTACCGAAACGAAATGTAAGAAAACTTATAGCATGCATGCCAGTACATTTTAGCATAAAAACAGTTAACAGGTTAGGTAAAATATATATGTATATATAATAGGTTCTTGACCATTCATTCTCACAAAAATTTCCTAACACAAATATATATCATATAAACTTGCAAGTTAGCACACATATATATACCTATTTTATTTTATATATACATAAACACATACTTACACACATACACATACATGTATATACAAGCATACACCATATTTACATAAATATATAAACATGTTCATGCATTTATAAGTGTTTTAAACATTTTTATCAGAAAACAAAAAACAAAAACAAAAAAAACAAAAAAACAAAAACATTTATTAATTATAGCTTACTTTAACATTTTTCATTATTATCTCTAGAAACTGACATAATTTGATTAATTCAATTTTATTCTCACTATTAAATAATTGATTGTATTTCAGTATATTTGGATGTCTATAATAGTATGCTTTAACAAACTTTTTTCTATCATCAATGAAATTTTTACATTCAAGTACATAATGAAATTCATCACCAATATGTATGTGACATAATTGACATTTTCTTTCTGGTATTGGAATACTATGCCATCTTCCAACTTCAATTGGCAGTCTATGGTTTCTACATAAGAATGCCATCATTGTTTTACAGTTCTTTTTGGGAAGAATATTGATATATTTACTTTGCACAAAATTTTCATTAACAAGATTATAACACTTAGAACTAGATGTTTGTGAAATATTTCCGTTCCAATTTTGCATAAATTGATCTTTTATCTTTTGTTTAAATGATAATGTTAACCATTTTGCATTAACATCTGGGAAGACATTCCAAAGATATTCATAGCCATTTGATACTATTAAATGTCTAACATTTTCAATCCATTTACATTTTATTTGGTTTTGATTAATAAACATATTGAAATATAAATTACTAGATAATTTTCTGGATTCAACATTATGTAACCTACTCCAAAATGCAACAATTCTAGATTTTATATCTACTTCCAGTGGTAGTACACCTAGTTCTCCATATATCATATTAGATGGGGTACTCTTTTTTAGATTTAAAATTAATTTAAAAAATTTTAACTGTACTCTTTCTAATATATCTAAATTGCCAAACCCCCAAATTTCACAACCATACAATAAAATTGGTCTGATAGTTTTACAAAAAATATCAACTTGTAGATCAATAGGTAAATTAAGTATTCGGATCTTTTTTAAAAGTGAAAACATGGCTTTATTTGCTTGTTCTGCAATATGCTTTTTAGCTGTTAAATTGCTGCCACTTCTTGATACATATATGCCTAGGTACTTAAATTCATTTACTATTTCTAATTCTTGACCATTGAATAAATTTTTTATATAATATTTTATATTATAATTCTTTTTCTTTGTACCCACTAATAATATTTTGGTTTTGCTAACACTAACAGTTAATTTCCACTTTAAACAATATTTCTCAAAAATATTCAAACTATTCTGTAAGTCTGTTTCATTTTCACTAACTATAACAGTATCATCTGCATAAAGAATTATAAATATTTGTAAATATTGATAAAAACCTTCACATTGAGCAACACTATTTACACCTTTTGCTCTTTTTTCACACAAAAACTCTTCTAAATCATTCAAAAATAATGAAAAGAGGAGAGGAGACAAATTTTCTCCTTGTCTTACACCTTTTAAACAATTAAAGAATAGAGAATTACCTCTTTTTGTAACAATTCTAGATTTAATGTTAACTTTGCATACATACTTTTAATCAGGTCAAAACATTTACCATTTATGCCATATTTTAAAAGTATAAGCCACAGTCCTTGTCTCCAAACTGAATCTAAAGCTTGTTTGAAGTCAATAAATGCACAACATAGCTTTTTTTATTTGCTTTAAGTAAATCTGTGAGACATTGTAGGACAAAAAGGTTATCTATAGTTGAATGATTCTGTCTAAAACCAGCCTGACAGTTTTTAATAATATTGTTTTCTTCTACATACTTATTCAATCTACTATTTATAATAGCTGTAAATAATTTACCAACACAGCTTAACAGTGTAATGGGCCTGTAATTTTCAGGCATTGTTTTGTCACCTTTTTGCTTATAAATAGGAATAATGTTTCCACTTGTCCATGATTCTGGTATAATGGCTGTATCCAATATAAGATTAAACAGTTTTACATAAATAGGCAACATACAGTCAATTGTACTTTTTATATGTTCATTAATAATTTTGTCAACACCAGGGCTTTTATTATTTTTTAGTGTTCTTAGTGCTTTCAGAATTTCTTCTCCTGTTATTGGCAGATTTATTTCATCATTTACATTATGTGAAAATTCAACCTCAATTTCTTCATTACTTTCAAAAGAATTTTCATTTATTTCTTTAAAAAATGTATACAGTTTATCTAAAGAGGTGCTTTCTGTTGGTTTCATATCAACAGAATTAATAATTTTCCAGAAGTCTCTACTACTTTTAGACTTGCAATTTCTTAAAGAGTTTATTGTATTTTGTTTATATAAGTTAACACTTCTTGAAATTGATGATTTATATTCTTTACTTACTTGTTTTAAGTTATTTTTGGTTTCTATATTTTTATATCTGTTATACAGTTTTCTAGCATTGTGGTATTTATTTATCATATTTCTACAAGTAGCATTAAACCATGGTTTCGTTTTGTTTTAACCATGTGAAATAGTTGGTATTTTAAAACCAAAAGTATTTTCACAGCAATTTTGAAAGATGTCATTAATGTTATTTACAATTGTGTCAATATCTGCTTGAGTGGCCTGGTTACTTTCACTAAGCTTACATAAGTTGCTGTAGACATTGTCAACATCTACCTTGTTAATATTATCAAAAAATATTTCATTGGAACCTTCCCTCCATAACTTACATATAGGTGTGTTATCAATTTTATCATTTGTGTTAACACATTCTATCATAACTTCATGTTTCATTTTCAAACACAATGAGATAGGACAGTGTACATCAGACAGTAATGAGCAAAAATCTCCAACTGTTAATGATTTTAGATATTTAAAACATTCAGTATTACATATATAGTAATCTACCACACTTTTTCCTTTACATGTAGTTTTACAATTATAATAGTCAGGATTTAATCTACCATTTAAAATGAAAATGTCATTGCTTTTACAAAAATCCAACAGTTCTGTACCATACTCATTTCTAACGGTATCAATACTTCTTCTTACAATAGGAATATCAGAATGTATAAATGATTCAAAAAGTAACTGGTTTTCCTCATATGCTTCACTATTACCATTTATATCACAAATAATACTATTTATTTCAGTATAATCTCTTTCATTACTAACTCTAGAGTTAAAATCTCCAAATAACAACAGTTTACTTCCATCATATTTGTCAATCTCCATTTGTAATTCCAGATAAGGATCAACATGTGCATACCTGGTTCTAATAGGTGGAATATATATTATTCCACAAACTATTTCTTCTTCATTTTGTGTTTGATCAAGTTTAATTTTGAAAAGTAGCATTTATTTAGTTTGGCACTCAAGAACTTCTATATTATCAGAAATGTTATTTTTTACAAGTAATGCAATACCTTCAGATCTATATCTGGCAACTGATTTCCTGTTTGAAGCAAAACATTTGTAGCCATCAATATCTATAGTGTCAACGTCATCAAGTTTTGATTCCTGAATTCCAATTATATCATATTTATTGACAAAGTTTATAAATTCTGGACAGTTTAATTTTGACTTCAGCCCACAGACATTTATACTAAGAATATTTAATTCATCATATTTTATACTGTCATGATTGTTCTCAACCCCATCCTAGAGGTTTATGTTTATGTTATCTGTATCATTGTGTTTGTTTGAAGTATTCTCCTTCTGTTGTACTCTTGTTGATTCTGATTCTTCAATTCTTTTGTTCACTGTTGATGCTTGTGTAGATATTGTAGCATGATGAGTAAACTGTAACATGATACTCTAGGTGCGTACAGCTCCTTTATAATAGAGAGTTCCCTAGATCTTAATACTACCATTACGGACACTGATATGTAAACACATGTATCATATAATATAGTTTAGATAATAAACGTAGTTAGAGCACATATATATTTATGTCGTTCATAAACCCATGACATAACATGGTGTCAGAAGTGGAAAGATAATAATTCTTAAAGACGGAATATTTTAAATAGTTTAATTATAATTCCTAAGGAAAGAATATTATATTAAAAGGTAAATCATTCCTAATGACGGAATATTTACAAATGTGCAATAAACATTCTTTAAAAAAAGGACAGAAATTAACTATAATTCCTTCTTGTTGGAATATTACATAATAATTCCTTAAGTGCTGGAATATTATAAAAAAATGAATTTAAGTGGTATCCCGCAACCTCAAATGGACTGGACATCAACCAATCTTGTAGAAGAATTCGCAAAATTTCAAGAGCACTGTGAATTAGTATTTAAAGGACCCTTGAAAGAGCAAGAAGAAGATGTCCACGTTACAATGCTATTGCTTTATATGGGCGCAAAGGGAAGAGAAATATATAGAGCCGCCAATTTATCTAATGCAGATAGAAAAGAAACAAAAAAGATCTTCCAAAAAGTCCGAGAACACATCGCTCCGATAATTAACCCAGTATTTAGCCGCTATCAATTCAATAATATCACACAAGGCGAAAAAACTACGGAACAATTCATCACAATAATAAAAAACAAGGCTACAGAGTGTGATTTTGGAACAATGAAAGATGACATGATCAGAGATAGAATTATTTATGGCGTGTCATGTACGAAATTAAGAGAAAGGCTTTTGCAAGTAGGGAATGATCTGAAATTAGACAAGGCAACAAAAATTTGCCAAGAATTTGAATATGCTGCATCTCAAATAAAAATGTTCAATAACGTCCAAGAAAGTGCTCCGGTACATGCATTATCAAGACCGAAGGGACGGATGCCTAGCCGTTCATCGGGCATCCAAGGTCGTTCGTCTCGGAACCCTTCATCGATGAATTCAGGTCGATATACAGAAACATCAAGCAATCAATGTCGCATTGGGGAACGTTCACACAGTACAAAATGTAACAGGTGTGGAAATAAACATACTGACATGCAGTGTTGTCCAGCAAAAGGCACACAATGTAACAATTGTAAAAAATGGAACCACTGGAGCAATGTTTGTAAATCTAGAACAGTGAATGAAATTTCAAATTTAAGTTCTGAATTATACATTGACTGTGTAGAAAATGTGGACAGTATTGACTGTGTAACAGTAAAAAATGGGCAGATGTTTACAGAAATATTAATTGGAAATAGTAAAAAGGCTGTGCAAATGAAGTTAGACACTGGCTCTCAGGTAAACATTTTGCCATTATCTACCTTTCAAGGTTTAGGAATCAAGGCACCACTTGAAAAGCCAACATCTAAATTGACCGCCTACAATGGCAATTCCTTGCATAGCAAAGGGCAAATCACTCTCCCTTGTTCTCATGCTGTTTCAGGTCAAGCAAAAAATGTCACGTTTCATGTCGTAGACACGAAATCCCCACCACTATTAGGTTGCGAGTCATGCTTGGGCTTTAAGCTCATAGAATTCGCTCATTCTGTAAAAAATGATTATAATCATAGAAACAAAGAGGCATTTCTTACTAGTGGCCCTTTTGACGGATTATGCCCAGGTTTTTGATGGCATAGGGTTACTCCCTGGGGAATGTAACATTCATGTTGACCCAAATGCTACACTAGTTGTTCATCCTCCCCGTAGGATTCCAGTTGCTTTACAAGATAAAGTGAAACAGGAACTTACACGAATGGAAAACATGGGAGTAATTGCTAAGATTTCAACACCCACTGAATGGTGTAATAATTTAGTTGTTACTGAAAAAAGTAATGGCGATATACGTCTTTGTTTAGACCCTCGTTCGCTGAATAGTGCAATTAAGCGTACACACTACCCGCTCAAAACACTTGATGACGTATTACATAAGTTTGGTAATGCAAAGTATTTCACTAAATTGGACTTAACTAGTGCTTACTGGTCAATACAATTATCTGAAGAGTCGTCATATTTGACTGCATTTAACAGTCCATTGGGGGTCTTCAGGTATCTTCGATGTCCATACGGATTAAACGTATCAGGTGTTTTTTTTTTGTTTCGCGCCCTTGAAGAGGCACTGATAGGTCTCGAAGGGGTAGCTACAATTGTTGATGATATTTGTGTATGGGGTTCCACGAGGGAAAGTCATGACCGAAATTTAGTAGCTGTCCTTGAACGTGCTTTAAACAAAGGCATTCGTTTCAATTCCAGAAAGTTGGAAGTAGGTCTCACCGAGTTTAGTTATTTTGGTCACGTGTTAACTGCAGAAGGCTTAAAGGCCGATCCCGCCAAAATTGAGGCCATTAAGGATATGAGACCACCCACATCAAAAAGTGAACTACATGTGGTATAAGGCATGGTTAATTATCTCAGTCGTTATGTCTCTGACAATTTATCAGAGATTACCGCTCCTATGAGAGAGTTATTGCATAAGGACTCTATATTCACGTGGCAAAAGCCTCAAAGTGATTCCTTTGAAAAAATGAAAGAAGTCATTTGTAAAGACACATGTTTAGCTTATTATGACCCAAACAAATCCTTGACATTGATAGTTGATTCTTCTTCAAAATCTTTAGGGGCAGTAATCCTTCAGGAAAAACGTCCCATAGCATTTGCGTCCCGTAGCTTAACTGAATCACAAAGAAATATGGGTCAAATTTCTAAAGTTTTATAATCTATTGTCTTTGGATTTACGAAATTTCATCAGTTCTGCTATGACCGTGATGTCATTGTAGAAAATGACCATCTCCCTATACAGGGATTGCTGAAAAAGCCTATGCATTCAATACCTGCTAGGTTGCAGCGTTTAGTCTTGAAATTAACTCCATATAGGTTTCAGTTTCGTCACATGTCCGGTAAGAAAATCCCATTAGCAGATGGACTTAGCAGAAATGCCAGGCCGGAAACTAGCCCAGAACTTAATGAGGGTATTGAGGCACACGTTTGCATGGTTATCTCATCTTTACCCGTGTCAGATAGAAAACTTGAGGAAATCAGGTTACACACAAAACAAGATGAACAATTATGTACATTACAACAAACAATAAAGTTTGGTTGGCCTAAGTACAAAAAGGCTTGTCATCAGTTAATTGCTGCCTTTTGGAACTATAGGGATGAGTTATCTGAGGTTAATGGTTTAATAATGAAAGGAGAAAAAATCGTTATGCCCAGGTCACTCAGATCTGAAATGTTAAAGGTGCTGCATTCCAGTCATCTGGGTGCGCAAAAATGTCTTAGTAGAGCAAGGTCAATAATGTTTTGGCCGGGAATTTCAAATGATATAATTGAAATGGTAAATCAATGTCAGATTTGTCTGGAATACAGGTCATCGCAACAGAAGGAGCCATTAATCAGCTCTGAAATCCCAGACTATCCGTTTCAAATTGCAGAGTGTGACTTGTTCTCACTTAATGAGAAAAATTTCATGGTCATGTCCGATTACTATTCTAGGTATCCCATAGTTCATGAACTTTCGAACATAAAAAGTTCAACTGTTATTTCCCACATGAAAGATATCATGTAAAATTGGGGCATATGTGAAAAAATAGTCACTGATGGGGGTCCATGTTTTTCCAGTCAAGAATTTGAGGAGTTTTCAAAGTCATGGGATTTTGTACATGTAAAATGTAGTCCATATCATAACCAAACAAATGGTTTGGCTGAGGCGATGGTTAAAGTTGCCAAACGTATACTTAAAAAGGTAAAGATGATAATTCTGATCCGAGAATAGGATTTTTAGAATATCGTTCTACTCCTCTCGCTGATAAATGAAATTTCAGTCCAGCGCAGTTAGTCCAATCACGACAACTTCGTTCTATCCTTCCCACTGTAAGGGAAAACATTATACCACGAGTACCGCCTCCTGATGTTGTCAAACAAAAAATCGCAGAATCCAAGGTCAAATCTAAGCATTACTATGATAAAAATGCTAAACCTCTGTCTCCCTTAAATGTTGGAGATTCCGCTAGAATTCAACGTCTAGACAAGTCCTGGAGTCCCGCTGTTGTAATAAAAAATCACAGCGATAGGTCCTATATTGTTGAAACAGAAAACGGACAACAATATCGCAGAAATCGTAAAGATTTGTTGAAATCTAAAGAATCACCTTTATTGACACATGGTGCTTTGAATTCTGGCCTTGAAATGTCAGTTAATGACAGAATGATAAACGTAGGGTCAGAGCGTACCGATAGCAATAAACAGCCTGTGGTTTTGAATCTTCCGGATAATGCTAATTATTTCACTCGCGCAGGCAGAAAGGTGAAGCCACGTGCTGTAACAGACTTGTAAATAGACAGTGATTGTTTGTAATGAAGAAATTTACAGTATTAATCATGATTAGTACATGTTGTAAACGACTCATGATAATGAACATTTATTAACTACATGTTACTGTAATCATCATCTAATATAAAGTTTTTCTTCCTTGAATTTATTTAAGCGTTATTCAAATAATCTATGCGGTTATACATATGATAAAATGATGTTTAGATATAACAGTAATTTTGTAAAAGATGGAAGATGTAGCATGATGAGTAAACTGTAACATGATACTCTAGGTGCGTACAGCTCCTTTATAATAGAGAGTTCCCTAGATCTTAATACTACCATCACGGACACTGATATGTAAACACATGTATCATATAATATAGTTTAGATAATAAACGTAGTTAGAGCACATATATATTTATGTCGTTCATAAACCCATGACGTAACAGATATTCCTTCTTTGTTGCTATGACTTATGTTACCTGATTGTGTATCTGTTGTTGTATGTGCATATTGTTGATCTATTTGGAACACACTTTTAACATTTTTTGTTTTTACATTTGTTGCATGCATTTCAATCACACTGTTTTCACTATCTGAACTGTCTGAGTTTAGATTTCAATGTTTTATATTTTCTCTACTCTTTTTAAAGGTAACTTCCATATATAATGGTGATGTAGCTTTCTTCTTTTCCCTGTTTATGTTTATTGGTGGCCATTCATTTTCATTCACAAATGACAGTGCTCCAAACCTGTTTGAAGTTTTAATATTTTGTCTAGGTGTTGTTTGATAATGTCTGTCATATTTTTTGGTCTGATAGAATATTCTCCCTTCTTTTGAGTTGTCTTGTTTATGTCTTCCATTTTTATGTGTATCATGTTTATCATCATATGTCCTTTCACTATTCATCTCAAAATGTTTTCTGTGTTCAAAGCCATTTGTAAGATCTTCTATTTGTTTCTCATTTACTTTATATTCAGTATTGTTTATATACAATTTATTTTTGACTAATCTTACTTCATTTTGCTTATTTTCTTTTGCTTTTCTCATCACCGGATATAGTCTCTTTCTCCTCTCCTCAATTCCTCTTGGGAATTGTTCAACCACACTAAATCTTGTATCTTTTACAAGTTTCCAGAATATTTAACTCTAATTCTATCTTTTCTATTAACAAAATTTGCAACTATTGGCCTTGGCCTTTCTGGGTTATTTGTTTTTTCCCCTATTCTATGGACAGCTTGATATTCAAAAGTTTTTCTGAAATTCATATGTTCATCAAGAAAAGGCAGTGAGTGTTTCTTCTGTTTCTTCTACTTGACCACTTTCTAGAATTGGTTTCTTCAATACCCATGAATAATAAGTTATTTTGCATGCTTCTTGTCTGGATATCTAATATCTTTTTCATGGTCTTCCTCCTGTTGTCTTTTTATAGTCATTGTTTCTATTTTCATTTTTTTTAAGTTTTCAGAAAGAGTATCTATTTGTTCTTGTTTTGAATCACTGCTAGAGTTTATTGTTTGGCAAATATCATCAGTATATTGAATTGCTTCTTCTACATCATTCACGTTTCATCTTATTTTTTTATTTATTCTATGTTCATGGAGTCAATTTGTGTTGTCATTGATTTTACACTTGTTTCTATTGTTTCAAACTTTTGTATTCTATGTTCAATATTTGTTTTTCTACTGTTTTTGCTTTTCCATAGATTCTTCAATTGTTTTCCAGTTCTTGTTTTGAATTTCAAATTGTGAGTGTATCATTTTAAATTGGTTGTCCATTTCAGTCATCATTATTTTGACCCAGTGTGGTGCATCCTCCATCTGTGTATTATGTGATATATTGTTTTGATTTATATGTATATGTTTTCATCCGGATTAGTAAACACTTGTGTCCAGTGTTTCTGTGCTATTTTTCATTACTCATATAACCAGTTACATATGTTTGCATTGGTCTTATTTGGTACATATGGTTTGGCATTTGGCTGGATTCTGGCTGGGATGGTTCAGATTGTTTGGTCAGATATGGTTGTGGCTGTAAATATAATGTCTCTCTAGCTTATTGAAGGTAATTTGAAGTCATATTTGTATTACTGTCAGTGTGCAGGTAACAATTTCTAATTTCACCATTGATATTATTATCAACAGAATTTGTATTTTTCTGTTGTTGGAAGCTATCTGCATTTGGATTCAAGCTAGGCTTCTGTTGCATATTCATATTTCGAGGATTTGTTGCTACTGTCTGTGTATGATCATAAACATTCGCTGGACTTTGTTCTTTAAAAGTGGATGGGGTGTTGTTTACATTTTCGTTTGAACTTGCCTTGTTCGGTTGTTTTTTCTGATTTTGTTTGTTTGTGTTTTTGGTTGTTAGCTCTTCCATTGGTCATAATTTTATTACAAGGACTCTTTTCCTACCTATATATCTTTATGTATTTCGGGTGTATTGTCTTTAAATCGTCATTATCGCCAAAATTTATACATGTAAAAATTTCGACCGCCATTGTACCGCCATTTTGTTTTAAAGATTTATATTTTAGACAAGTAAATATTTTTTTCCGTTAAGATAAAAACAGAGATCTGTAACCAAATGTTTTATACATCTATTCAAGAAAATACCTTTTACAATCTAACTTATTAAGATTGTTTTTTGTTATTTTTTTATATTATTTTTTATTATTTTCTCGCGTAGGTGTAATTAAATAATTAATGACTTACTTTTGCGACCATTATTGTATTAGTCACAAAACTCTCACTTGTAACATTGGTATAATTGGTTACATGTAAGAATCAACAGATATGTAATTTGTAAATCTGTGTACAAAAGTCTCTTAGGCCGCGTTTACACCTAGTCAAGCCTTTAATAAATAATATTTTCATGTCTTGCATAATGTAAACGCCCTAAAGTTTAATCATTTTTATGCCCCCATTTCGAAGAAAAGGGGGTATATTGCTTTGCACTTGTCGGTCCGTCGGTCCAAATGGTTTCCGAGTGATAACTAAAGAACCCTTAGGCCTAGGAACTTCAAACTTGGTTTGGTGATTGGTCATGATCGGCAGATGACCCCTATTGATTTTGGGGTCAAGGGGTCAAAGGTCAAGGTCACATTGACCTTGTAAGCAAAAACGGTTTCCGATCAATAACTAAAGAACCTTAAGGCCTAGGAACTTCAAACTTGGTATGGTGATTGGTCATGTTCAGTAGATGACCCCTATTGATTTTGGGGTCAAGGGGTCAAAGGTCAAGGTCACATTGACCTTGTAAGCAAAAACGGTTACCGATCAATAACTAAAGAACCTTAAGGCCTAGGAACTTCAAACTTAGTGTGATGATTGGTCATGATAAGTAGATGACCCCTCCTGATTTTGGGGTCAAGGGGTCAAAGGTCAAGGTCACATTGACCTTTTGGGTAAAAAACGGTTTCCGATCAATTACTAAAGAACCCTTAGGCCTAGGAACTTCAAACTTGGTATGGTGATTGGTTATGACCAGCAAATGACCCCTATTGATTTTGGGGTCAAGGGGTCAAAGGTCAAGGTCACATTGACCTTGTAAGTAAAAACGGTTTCCGATCAATAACGAAAGAACCCTTAGGCCTAGGAACTTCAAACTTAATATGGTGATTGGTCATGATCAGTAGATGACCCCTATTGATTTTGGGGTCAAGGGGTCAAAGGTCAAGGTCACATTGACCTCTTAGGTTAAAACGGTTTCCGATCAATAACTAAAGAACCCTTAGGCCAAGGAACTTCAGACTTGGTATGGTGATTGGTCATGACCAGCAGAGGACCCCTATTGATATTGGGGTTAAGGGGTCAAAGGGCAAGGTTACATTGACCTTGTAGGTAAAAATGCTTTACAATCAATAACTTAAGAACCCTTAGGCTTAGGAACTTCAAACTTGGTATGGTGATTGGTCATGACCAGCAGATGACCTACTGATTTTGGGGACAAGGGGTCAAAGGTCAAGATCACATTGACCTTGTAGGTAAAAATGGTTTCCGATCAATTAACTAAAAACGCTTAGGCCTAGGAACTTCAAACTTTGTATGATGATTGGTTGTGACCAGCAGATGACCCCTATTGAGTTTTGGGTCAAGGGGTCAAAGGTCAAGGTCACATTGACCTTGTAAGTAAAAACGGTTTCTGATCAAAAACTTAAGAACGCTTAGGCCTAGGAACTTCAAACTTGGTATGGTGATTTGTCATGACCAGCAGATTACCCTATTGATTTTGGGATCAAGGGGTCAAAGGTCAAGGTCACATTGACATTGTAAGTAAAAACGGTTTCTGATCAATAACTAAAGAACGCTTCGGCCTAGGAACTTCAAACTTGGCATGGTGATTGGTCATGACCAGCAGATGACCCCTATTGATTTTGGGGTCAAAGGTCAAGGTCACATTGACCTTGTATGTTAAAACGGTTTCCGATCAATAACTAAAGAACCCTTAGGCCTAGGAACTTCAAACTTGGTATGGTGATTGGTCATGACCAGCAGATGACCTATTGATTTTGGGTCAAGGGGTCAAAGGTCAAGGTCACATTGACCTTGTAGGTAAAAACGGTTTCCGATCAATTAACTAAAATCGCTTAGGCCTAGGAACTTCAAACTTTGTATGATTGGTCGTGACCAGCAGATGACCCCTGTTGAGTTTTGGGTCAAGGGGTCAAAGGTTAAGGTCATGACCAGTAGATACTTGATAACCCTTATTAATTGTTTGATCACTGGGTCAGAAGTCATGCATAATAACCTTATCACATGACTAATTGGCTGCAGATAGGGGGCATACATGTTTTACAAACATATCTTGTTAATGATAAATTATAAGACATCCATGAATATAATTTCTTGCGAGCAAATTAGAAAACGTTCTTTTTTCTACATGTTTTTGGCGTTCAAGACACCGATTACACCGATTTGACACAAAACATGTGCCCTGAAGATGCGATAATGGAGTTATTATACCCCCACCACAAAATGTGGGGGGGGGGGGGCTATAATGGATTCGCTTTGTCGCGTCGG